GGTTAACAGATAATGACAAATGTTTTGCCTAAAACTACTGTACCTAATGCAGAACTGCACTCAATCCTGTGAACTATCTGCTAATAGCATTAATTTGATTTCCATGGAAAATATATGTAAAAAAATTATATAATAAAGAACAGAAACTACCATTAATAATAACAATAATATAACAATAACAATAATAACATAACAATAACAATAACAATAATAATAATGATAATGATAATGATAATGATAATGATAATGATAATGATAATATAATAATAATAATAATAATAATAATAATAATAATAATAATAATAAATAATAATAATAATAATAATAATAATATAATACAATAAAATAATAAATAATAATAATAATTAACAAAAAAAAAATAATAATAATAATATAATAACAATAACAATAACAATAACAATAACAATAACAATAACAATAATAACAATGACAATTAATGATAATAATGACAATAATAATAATAATAATAATAAATAATAATATAATAATAATAATAATGATAATTATAATAATAATAATAATCAAGATAATAACAAAGATGATGATTGATGATTGACGATTGACGATTGACGATATGATGATGATGATGATTGATGATGATGATGATGATGATGATTGATGATTGATGATAATTGATGATGATGATGATGATGATGATGATGATGATGATGATGATGATGATGATGATGTAAAAATAACAATATAATAATTAATAATTATTATAATAAATATAATAATGATAATATTAATAATGAAATAATATAGAAATAATAATATAATAATAATAATAATAATAATAATAATAATAACAATAACAATAACAATAACAATAATAATAATAATAATAATAATAATAATAATAATAATAATAATAATAATAATAATAATAATAATAATAATAATAATAATAATAATAATAATAAATAATATAATAATAATAAAAAAATAAAAAATAATATTAATAAAAAAATAACAATAATAATAACAACACCAATAACAACAATAATCATATTACAAATATGAATAATGAACATACATTCTGCGATAATCTTGAACAAGTGCAACATCTTTTGTAAGTCTGAACTTTTAAGATTACTCTATTACTATATGAAAAGTCTAAAAAAAGAAATATCAGGGTATATGTCATACAATAATACAGTAAAATATACTAACTGTTCTTAAAGACATAAAATCAATGACAATTAACACTAATATGTTTCATATTAAAAATATTGATATGACCAGAAAACTTCATATCCAGGTATTATTGTCAAGTGTCCCTGATTATTGAAAAATTATATAGGCATTTGATATTCACCATAATTCAGAGCTGACAGAATAAAACACTAAATTCTCTTTTTCTTACCAAAAAATTAAATTATGCATGACTGAAACAAAACAAAAAAACAATAATAATGCAACAGTTTTCAATACAGTCAGTGGCTAATACCCTTAGGAAATTTTCCAGATCAGAAGGTGCTTACTACACAGAACAGTATTCTTTGTAGTTACAAAAATCATCTAAACTTGAAACTAACTTACATTTCTCTGATAGCAACTATAATGAAATATCTATTTAATACTTTTTACCAAACAAGTGGACATAGATCAGTGTAGCATAGTGATGCCATACTTGGCACCATATAACTGTAAAACAATAAATTTCAGTTACATATACATTTTCTAATTCTTCAAACAAAGGCAAACTCCTACATGCAAACAATCTGTTTTTATCCTAAGAAAAATTGTTCTCAAAAAAATAAAATAAAATAAAATATTGCTCTACTGACAGCAGTGCTGACATCATAAGACAGAATCTTCATTAGAGATACAATAGAAGGAATACACATTTTTATAGCTCAAATGCCCTAGCATCTATCAAAAATATAATAATAAACAAATTCCAGAAACAATTCTAAAAACATGATAAAGCCTATTCCCTGTCTTCCATAATCAAATATTTGCAAACTAAATATAAATACAATATACAAATAAACAAACAATGTAAGTTATTATTCCCCACAATAATTAGTAAATCCCAAAGGAAAATCTTTCACATATTTAAGCCATCAGGCTACTAAACCATGATTTCTCTGTATATATATATATATATATATATATATATATATATATATATATATATATATATATATATATTTATATATATAAACTGTACATCAGAAATATCTGCCAAATAACACAGCACATAAATATAGACTTCATAATGCACACACATTGCTATAGTTACTGTACCATTCAAAACCCAACTATTGTGACAAGCTCTTCAGTAATATCTCTTAAGTTTAAATATACAGAAAAAGTATAAATAAATTCAAGATGACACCCTAGCAATTTTCATTAAGTGGCAAACTCACCCGTCCTCCAAACTTTGCAGATCTGGGAAGAATTCTCGCAGGATGGATGGCAGCATGTCCATGTACGCCTCCACTTTTCTCTGGAGGTATTCGTCTTTGAGCTT